CTCGCGCGAGCTTCATCAAAACCGCAGCAAGGCGAGCCCGGCGGCGCACCGCGGTGCACACGGCGAGGAGTGGGGGAGACTAATTGAATGCAGTCGCTCCTGTTTTATATATGTTAGTTTCCGGCGCGCCTCTCTTGCATTGCTTTGCATCTCTCCGCCTGCTGCCCGACTCTCGTAAACGTGCCAACGAGCGGTTGTTGTGTGTGTTGTTGTATTGGTGAGGCCAACTACTACTGGTCCAGTGATACCCGCGCGGCCGCCAGCCGCCCCGTGCAGCACGTCAGACACACAGCGCACAAACGAGTCGGACGTGGATGTGCCGGGGGCGGGCACGCCAGTCCACACCACGCCACGCTAGATGCCAACGCGCCTGCCGTGGTTGTTATTATGTCATGGAGAGAGATTCCCCTTTCACGAAGTCACGCGCATTGCCGTTAAAATACGCGGAGTAGTGTGTGTGTGTCTGTGTTTTTCTGGCTGTGTATGCCGGCGCAGGCGCATGGCGCCGTGTAAAAGTAGTCTCCGTCAACATTTTTCCTTCCTGCGCGCTGGAGCTCTCACAAGCGCGCGCAATTTCGTATTAATTTCGATATAATTTTACGACCCGAGCATGGAACGATGGGTGGAAAACCAACGTCGCTTCCTGGCTTCCTTGTGCAGAACCCTCCTGATCGGACGGCTTCAGAAACTCGCCTCGACCCGACTCGACTAATTCGCACGGAAGTGAGCGCGGCGCCGCCGTGGCCGGCAAGCGTCCGCCCAGCCCCAGCCACATCCCAGTCCCACACGTGTGGGTGTTGGACGGGCCGGGGCGGGGCGGGGCGCAGAGTGGATGGGGTATGATACGAGAAGAATAGGGCGGCCAACCCATTGTGGAATCAAGCTCGTCTTCTTCGCGCCCTGCTGCCACTCTATTCTCCCGCTTCATCCTATTCCTTTTCAAATAAACTCGCTCGCCTCACCTCAACCCCTCTCCCCCTCCCGCTTCCCTAGTCCCATTGGACCTATGGGCTGCGCCGCCACCGCCGTCGACGACTGCGGCTCCGCCTCATCAGAAGAGTCATTCTCGATCGATCGCTCCAATCTCGGCGGACATAGACGCTCTTTAAAGAGAGGCCCCTCCTGACGGGTCCGCCGCTGCTGCTACTTCGGCCCGCCGATCTAGGACTTTTAATGGCGCCCTCTGCTGTCCCGGTCGTATCGAGAGCGTCTACACGACGGCCCAGTCCGAGGTCCGGCGCAACGAGGCCGAGGCTGAGCGAGCAGCGGGCCCTAGCTGCCTCGCCCGCTCGGTGGAGCGCCTGGGAGGCAGGCCGGCCCGCCACGCTCGGCCGCTCAACAGGCGTGCCTACCCGACAGGCGCTCTGTGCTAACCGATCTCTTCGCAGCGCAACAAGCCACGGCCGCGCAGCCAGGCGTGCGGCGCGGTGCAGTGCAGCGGGACGCCAGACTGTGCTACACTTTTGGTCGCGTTGCTCGGGCCGCGGGGCCGTGAGCGCCTGTGGTCGAGCGAGTAGGCAGCCTGGCCTGCGCGGGTGCCCCGGGGGTGGGGGCGGCTAGCGGCGGCGGGCCGGCCGGAGCAGTCAGCGGCCACGTGCAGACACGTGTGCAAGTCTCGGGGGGAAGAAGGGACTTGTGCTGGCCTGGCTCGTCGGCCGGGGCTGCACACTGAGAGAAATGTTTCGTTGCAGCCGTCAAAAATTGTTCGATTAGTCGTGGCCATCAAACTTTTAGTCACAGCAACTCAAATTTTGCTTACAGCAACTAAAACTTTGATGCCCATGACTAAACCGGAGGGATCGAACGAAATTTTTGATCGTGACCATCAAAATTTTGATGGCTGGAACGAAACATTTCTTTCAGTGTGCAGGACGCGTGGACTCACCGCCGGGGCTTGCCTCGCGAAAAAAATAAATCGTCCCTCCCTCCCTCGGTCCCTCCCCTCGCCACCGCGTAGGCAAGTTGCCGACGTGGCAAAGGCGAGAAAAGAATCGCGTTTCCTGTGTGGCGCGCTGGGAAGTCCGCGTCTGCCCGTCCAGAACCGCGTTCCCTGCTGTCGAAATAGTTGAAACAAACAAAACAAAAATCCGCGCGCCTTTTTGCAGCTCTTCGACTCCAGCTCTGACGACGACGTTCTTCTCTTCTTGTGTTGCAGAGTCCCGCCCCCGTGTACAAGCTGATCATGCACCTGTCCGTGGCGGACGTGGTCGTCTCGCTAGTCTGCATCGCCGGGGAGGCCATCTGGATGTTCATGGTGCAGTGGACGTTCGGCAACGTGGCCTGCAAGGTGTGGAAGTTCCTCGAGATGACGGCGCTGCACGGCTCCTCGTACGTCGTCGTGCTGATCGCGCAGAACCGCTGGGTGGCCGTCAACCACCCGCTGGCCTCGCGGCGACACAAGTCCTCTGTGTGCGACCTCGTCCGGGACGTGGTGCGCTGCGCTTCGCCGCGCTCCGTGCTCCTCGTGTGGGTGGTGGGCGCCTGCCTCAGCATACCTCAGGTGAGCGCGATAAGTGCGAAAGTGGCCGATATGCATCGCAATATATTGAGAAGCCTCAATATTTCGATATCTGGAGAATATCGAGCCCTCGAAATCGGACACTATCGTATTGATATCGGAAAATATCGTGATATCGCGCAGTCCTACCCGGGGCCGCGTGCCAGGTCGCCGTCTATATACCTTACAACTCACCCCCTCCTCACTCTCTCCTGTGCAGCTGATGATGTTCAGCGTGCAGCTCGGCCCGTTCTACGAGGAGTACTACCAGTGCGTGACGTACGACATGGGCAGCACCCTGGAGCGCGTGTACAACATCGTCAACTTCATGGCGCTGTTCGTCATCCCGCTGCTGGGCCTCATCATCTCCTACCTGTCCATCTACTGCACGCTGTCCAGTGAGTACTCTGACAAGCGTCTCTATGCGCGTCACGCTGCCCAGTGACTACACACAGTGTCTGTATGCGCGTCACGGCGGGTTCGACTGCCGCTGCGGGGCGCGGTTCTCAGCGGAAGGCGGAAGGCGATTTCCTCGTTTTATTTTTACTATGCCATTTACTCTTCTTTTGTCCGCGTTGATTCTCTGCCCTGCCCTCTCTCGCGCACGGACTTCATGTTCCCGGCCGAAGGGTGCGTGACCTGAATGAATAGGGGCAATGGGCATGGCCGGGTGGGGCGGCCGCGACACGGGGAGGGAGGAGGGCACTCACTAAAGGGGTCGCGGCTGTTTGAAAAGTTAGGGGAAGGGAGGGAATAAATGTTGGGGTCCGAGGGGAGGAGGGGGAGGGGGCGCCTGGAGTGCTGTGTCGCGTGATGGGGCGCGGCCGGGACATGGCGGCCTGTTGTGGGCGGTGGGCGTCAACGCCGCCAGACGGGAGAATCGCAAATCACGTCCCAAATAATAATAAAAATGGGTCGAATTCGACCCCTTTCCTCCCCGGCCCCCGCGGCGGCGGCGTGCCCCCGCGCGCCCCAGCAGCCGCCGGAGCAGCCTCTGGCCCGGCCGTGGCCTCGTTGCCCAGAGATTGGACTCGCGTGTCAAACTTCTTGGCAGCAGCGGCGGGGGGCAGAGGGTGGTGCGGGCCGCGCCGCGCTCATGCGTCTGCCGAGGACACGGAGGCACCCTCGCTGCACTGGGAAAAGCGATCTGTCCGAATAACCAGTAAATAAAAAAATGTAGAATCCATGAAAATTTACTTCCTGAAGCCAACTACACATTTGATCAAGAATTTTTAACACAATGTGATCAGGCGAACAAAAATTACATCAAGCCGATCGCACCTTTATCAAGATAACGATATCATGTAATCACGGCGATCAAAATTTGTTCGAAGGAAGTAAAGTTTTCTTGCGACTTTCTCAATACTGCTTTTAGTTCCGTGAATAAAGTGGTTTTCCGAGTGTGCCTCGAGGATCGCTGCGACTGATGGTTCGATGTTTGACTTTGCCCCGCAGGAGGCCAGAGGGAGATCCGGAGCGTGGACAAGATCAGCATCGCGACGCACGACCAGAACCGGCAGCGCAGCATGAAGCGAGCCATGGTCAAGTCGCGCTGGATCGCCGTGGTCATCGTGTGCGCCTACCTCGTGTCCTGGCTGCCGTACTACATCACCATGCTCGTGCACTTCCTGTCGCCCTCGCTGCAGGACGAGGTGAGCACGGGGAGTGTGGAAAGAGGGGGGGAGGGGGGCAGCCGAGCACAG